GCTTATAGCAACACAAATTGTTTTACGTATAGCCTTAAAAAAAAACTAGATTTTCACTGAAGATAAAAAAAGTTGCTCTCCAGTTTGCACAATATGTATGTATTTATATATATATATATATATTATATGATATAAATTGAAGTAGAATGTGCACACTTGTACTTTAACTTATCAGAATCAGAAATCCTTTATTAGTCCCACCAAATTTACAGTTTTACAGCAAAAAGTGTCAAAGCAGGTAATAAAAAAGGCATGCAATAATACAGATAACTTAATAATATAGAGAAGAAAAGCACACATTAGTTATACTAGAACACAAATAATTAGGTAAGTAAGTACGATTCTGATTAATTTGGCAGTTTCTATGCTCCAATCCCAAGATTATAATTTTTACAGCCACATAATGATGTCTTAAAATATTTGTGAACATCCATTGTAACCCCTTAGTAGAATGTCTTAAGCGTTAAATGGTTACACTTTATTGAATTGTTCCAGTAACAAGTATCATGCGGTTGTAGGGATGTCTGATCACCTTTTTTTTGCTCCCGATCCGATTCCGATCATGTTGATTTTGACAATTTGCCGATACCCGACTTTTTCCCGATCCCGATCTTTATGCAATGCATTAAGAGAAAAAAAGAAAAAAAAGCATTCAGTTGTTCCCTTAAGGTTAATATATTATTATTAGGGGCGCGGGACCTTTAACCCGTTAATTAAAGATGTAATGTAATTACACACAAAATTAACGCGCGTTAAAAAATTAACGCATGTTTAATCGGCACTTATTTTTGCAACCGCGGAACGTTTCTCAGCTGGATGAGTTTTCGGGGTAGCCGAAATTATACTGGAGGCACCAAACTAACGTTCCATTACTTCAGACAACAACAAACCACCAGTGAACAATAGTTCAAACGTGGAACGAAGAAGGCTGATGAGACCCGCTTTGGTTGGCCCCCGTGAATTGGGACTTGTTGTTTTAAAAACACGGACCGGATCGGAGCGTCAATAAGAGCACGGTTTTTTTGCCAATTATGCAAAAAGGAATTTCGCATATCACCCGGCAGCACATCAAGCCTCAAGTATAGCCAGCTAGCGTGGAAGCCTAGCGTGGACGTTAGCCCGACTCAGAGTACCAAGGACCCACACCACCAATTCGGCGTTGATCAAACAGTGGCCTATGCAACAGAGAGATTTTATTTTTCATCAGGATAGTTGGAAGAATAGGGAGGATTGAGATCAATCACTGGCACTTTTTTATTTTATTTTAAATGGTACACTTTATGTTGAACTATTTATTACGTTGTTGGTGCAACTGGCACTTTATGTTGAACTGTTTATTGTTTTGGCCAAGGTTATTGAGAGAGTTGGACCTGTACTTTATTAGATTTTTTAAATCAACCTGTTTGGTAAATCAACAAAAGTCTGTTATGGCCTTCTGAAGCAACAGAGAGAGTGTTTTCTAATAGTCAGGGTTTTCCAATGTTCTGAATGTACTTGAAGTATTGTGTTATACTTAAAAAACAAAGTGTTATAGAGTTTACAGAAGGTCTACCCTACCTATAGGCTAAACCTGAATCTCGGAAATTGTACTATATATTCTAAATATGGCTATTGCTACACTTTATTGGCAAAAATTGCACTCTTTCCTGTTGGTCTTGGTTAAGAACTCTCCTTGGAAAAAATAAACAATGTTTTGTTGCTTAAGCTTATGTATTCAGGTCATTAGTTCAATGGATATACTAAAATCCATGGTGAAAAAAATTGCTTCTCCTGTTCTCAGGTCAAATATTTTATATGCGATTAAAAATGCGTTAATTGCGATTAATTAATTACAAAAGCTGTAATTAATTAGATTAATTTTTTTAATCGAGTCCGGCCCTAATTAATGTATATTAAGATATTCTATCCAACATGGATATAGCTTCCTTTTTTTCACAGCAGCATTGGGATCGTTCAGTTTGTTGCAGCATTGGATCAAAACAAAATAAAGCTTATCAGTATTCGTTAGCTTACTGCTACAATTAGACACTGCGCCCTGCCCACTCTGTTGCCAGATTTGAGAGAAATAAGCAACCAGGTCTATGAAAACAAGCCCCAAAGAAGCAACACATACATGATGTTGTGTCATTTGAAACCAAACCTAAGGCCTCAGGATGACTTTACGACTTGAACATGGTCATTTTTGTTTTGTAACATTGAATACCCGATCCCGTGATCGGATCGGGACATCTCTAGTATCATCTGATTAATTTCTTCACTGTACCAACATTTTCTTTGCTCTCTTGCAGGAGATGGCGACTGTAAAGGAATTTATCGAGAAGTATATGCCCCGAGTCTGACCTCACCTCACCCCTACTGTGACCCTCTGAGACACTGACCTCTCACGCCTGATCCGCCATTCTCCCACAGGAAACAGCCATGAGCACCCCTCTTCCACACACATCAGCAAGATGACAAACACGCACACACATTTAATATTGATTTGATCCATACTGCTACACATAACATACTTCTCTCAAATGCAGTCCTTCAGACACTCATACTGAAAATGCACTGATTTATTCTAGCATTAATAAGTGCTAACACTCACAAGTCTTAGCCTTTCGGAGGGAGAATACTAAACTCACATGATACATTCCCTTTGGTTTTATTTTAACCACCTCTGTCAGTCGCTTCCACACTATCAAATGTTTACCTCATCTTAACCTCCAGCTGTCACATCCTCTTTTGCTTTCGGTCTTTCATTGCTGTGTCAATATGTAAGACATTGAGTCACATAAGCAGGTTAACAGCTACATGATTCTGTTAACCACCATGCTAAGGTGCAGTCAGACCAAATTTCACTTCCCAATCATTTCCACACGGAACGGGATGCAACACATTTACTCCTAGCCAGGAATTTACCTTTTTTCTTTGGTTCAATCAGATTGAATAAGCAAACATATTATCTGTCCAATGCACAAGTTTAGGAAAGGGGAGTTTATTGTCTTGCTTAATAAATGCATGATAAACTACTACAATCAGAGCATAGATAGAAACAAAGCTAAAAACCATTACAATGTTTGATAAAACCCTGCACAAGCTTTTTCCTGTCCCTCCTACATTTTTTGTGCTACACCACACGAGTACATTTGGCCAGATTAAATAAATTCAGCCATGTGAAATTCTGTCCAACTATGGCTTTGTTTCAATGTCAGTCCCACAGAATCTGGTTTCCATCCCACCACACAAATTCTAAACAGCAGCCTGTCCGAGTCTTGCATCACTAACCGTCTACGGAGGCCCCTCTTCACTAATCTTGAACAATCATACACGAGGGCTTTACATTCCTTTCTTTTTTTTTAACGGGTGTAATAGAATATCTTGAAGTACATGAAGAAAAATCCAATTGAAATAAACCAATCAATCCATGCTTTTGCCACGCTGTGCTGTTTATTTCAAATGGTCCACATCTGCATGTTAAACTATTTCTGCTTTGTGATTATTATTATTTTTATTACCTCAATTGATTAAAAAAATATGTAAGATTGTAGGTATGAGTTGCATGAAATAAAACATCGCTCCAGATGTTTGCAGGCCGGCACAGACTGCACACCATGAGTTGCATCACTGTAACACACACACACACACACTTTTTCCTCAAAGATTCTCCCCATTCAAGTGTTCCTGTTTCAGCATCTGCCACCCACCACCCTCCTCTTCATCAGTCCCGGTGGATTTTCAAAGTTCCGGAAAAACCTGCTAACTATATCTTCTTCCACAACACCGTAGCAGTCCAGACCTTTATTTCCTAAGAAAATATTCACTTCCTTGCTCCCTGCTTCGCCAACACACTGTAACCCACTAATATCCCATATAAGGTCAGATTTAAAATGAATCCCAATGCTATTATAGTTAACTTCTTAAAAAATAAAATGGCTATACACTGGGAGCTTTGGCAAGAAGCTGTTCCAACATAACTGAAGGGTGATTTTACAAATAAAAACAGCAAAACTTGAACATCGTGTGATCCATCCTTGAACATAGGAGTGTAACTCTGAGGAGTTGTTTGTGTTTAAATATATATATATATATATATCAGGTGTTCTGCATTTTCCTTTGTGAATGGTTATTTTGCTCCTCATGATTAATTGTTCTTTGTTGGTGTTCTTCACCTTGATTTAACAAAAGAAAAGGAAGGAAGACATCTGTTTGATTGTTGTTGTTGAATCAGTGAATGTGTCTTCCCTCGACGAGTCCTTTTATGTTTTCCTGTGACTGATGCAGCCCTGCCTTCATTCTACGTTCTAGTTTCTTCTCTTTGACACCTTTTTTTGTATTAATTTCTTACACTTCCCCTGTGTGAAAAGGTATTGTGTTTTCTCTCCTGGGTTGTATGTTTTCATTGGTTTTTACTTTCATGTTTTTGTTGTTTATTTGACTTATGTTTCGTTGCGTTTTGTCGCTGTTGTCATCTCATCCTTTTATTGTTTGTTTTTAATTATAAGCTTTCAAAAAACATGTTTAGGTGAGATATGAGTTTTTTTGGTTTTTGGAACACCTGTATGCGGAATAAATGACAAAAAAAAGATTTATTTAGAGTTGAGTGTGTTTCATTCTCCGTAGCTTGATATTTTTCATGCGATGCATAAAGCCTGATCACTAGCAGGAATTTATGTTGGTCAAAAAAGTACACAAGTCTGGATTGACAGACAAGACTGTCTGGATCCAAACAATTATAATATAATAATGTTGATTCTTTTTAGCCATGACTAAATAACTCTACATTTCGATGATAGTTTCCTTAAGAGGTATATTGTGTACATGTTCTACTGTAAACATAAAAGAAGAGACCGAGAGGTTGGGAAAGAGCTGAATTTGTTTTTTTTTAGCAAAGAGTCAAATGAACTGATGCTTCATAAGACCCTGAACACTCCCGGTCCCTCCTCCTTTTTGGAAGCGGACCAATCAGCGGCTCGTGGGGGTGGGGGGTCGCTCTGCTGGAGAAGAAAGACTCCTCCCGACACAGTCGTCAATCGCCATTTTGAGGTGCTCGACCTGCAAACATCGGCCGAACACCGTTGTTACGCAGCACAGTTGAATCGTATTTTAATCATAGTTTTCGCTAAAACAAGGATCAATGTCTCGATTCAACAATAATCGTGGCGGCTTCGCGATGAATCATTTCCAGCAACGCAGAGGAGGCGGTGGGCCAGGCGGCCCTATGAGGGGTGGGATAATGGGAAACCCACATTTCAGGAACCATCCTTTCCAGAACCAAAATCAGAACCAAAATCGGAGGGGAGCCAATAATAACTTGAACAGACCTCCCAACCAGGGGCAAAATACCCCACAGAAGCCGCCACTTAACCAGTCGCTGCCAATTATTCCTCCACCAACTCCTGGCCCAGCTCTCACTATGAAGGGGCCGATGCAGCAGATGCAGAAACCGGCACAACAGCCCAACGCAACACCAGCAAAGCAACCGGAGCCAAAACCGGCAACCCCTGCACCGCCACCGAAGATTCAGTCACCTCCTCCGAAACCCAACATCTCTTCCCCTCCTCCGAACCAGGCGAACAAGAACCAGGAGCTGAAGTCACCGGTAGTAAACACTAATGGGCAGAAGCAGAAGCAGCCTCCGAACCCGATCCCAAAGCCGGAGCCTGTACAAGGCCCAAAACCCCCCCAACAAAGTCAGAGGTCCGGCCCAAACCAGGGCAATAACGGCCAGCGAGCAGGCCCTCATCAAGGCCAGAGGACAGGCCCCTTTCAGGGCCAGCGGACAGGACCCCCGGCAATGAGGCCCAAACAGGACCAAGTCGTAAGAATGTGCGGAAACAACGACGGCGCCGAGACCGACGGCAGCCAGGATACGGTCAGTTATTTTTAATAAATGTTTTACTGTGCGTCGAGTCTTTGTTCGCTAACGTTAGCTTATTCAGTTGTCAATGCGCTCGATAAGCAATACAGTGCAGCCCGAGCGGGCGGGGGTGTTCTCTCCTATCTTAACTATTTACATCATTCAGTCGTCTGTGTCTGTTCTTCGTTTTATAAACAGGAGCACTCTTTGCCGAATAGTTATTTCCAATGAAAATAATTAATTATCTATTTTAAAAGGAATGTAAAATGATTACCGGTACACGCGGTGATTAAAATCATGCGCACCCTATTGCATTCGCTTTAGCCCTCCGCCATCTTGTCTACAACACGTAGGCCTACATTCACAAATCTCTAAATGGGTTCTTTGTGCTAAAACAGAAACGCACCTCTGTGTTTATTTAACACCAATTACAATTTCCTTTGTGCCACATCTCAAGTACACTAGGTTGTAGAAAATTGACGTCAGAAAGTCAATCATGTTTTCCGTCGAGCTACAATGGCGAATGGGGGATGGGCTGCTCGCATAGGGATACATCCATGAATACAAATTCCGTGACTGGGCAAGCAAAAGCAGTCATGTCCGAGCACAATATAACCTTTGTTTATTGGAATTTTAACTATAAACAATTTCAGGGTGTAGTATTGTAGATGGACAACTAAATATGTGTATTGTTGTATCGTCGACAGTCGTTCAAGGCGACCCTCTCCATGCTGCTGAAGCCTGGCGAGAAGACGTACACGCAGCGGTGTCGCCTGTTCATTGGAAATCTCCCCAACGACATCTCAGAGGAAGATTTCAAGAAGCTGTTCGCAAAATATGGTGAGCCCAGCGAGGTCTTCATCAACAAAAGCAAAGGCTTTGGATTCATCAGACTGGTAAGACAATATATTATTTGTTTCAGAAATAGTCAATGAAAAGGCAGGTGATTGTGGAGAAAAGTTGATTCAAAGTTCCTAATACTAATCTTACATTTTGTTTCTTGTAGGAGTCCCGTGCACTCGCAGAGATAGCAAAAGCAGAGTTGGATGACAAGCCGATGAGAAGCAGACCTCTGCGTGTTCGATTTGCCACACACTCTGCCGCTTTGTCTGTGAAGAACCTGTCACCATTTGTTTCAAACGAGCTCCTGGAGGAAGCCTTCTCACAGTTTGGAATGGTTGAGCGATCCATTGTCATCGTGGATGATCGCGGACGCCCCACAGGCAAGGGAATTGTTGAGTTTGCCTCCAAACCTGCCGCTAGAAAGGCATTGGATCGTTGCAACGAGGGTGTCTTCCTTCTCACCACGTAAGCATTTTTGATGTTTAAAAAAACAAACATTGTGTGCTTTATTATGCACCTCGCTAAGTTAATAAAACATTACTAATTTCACTTTATTGTTTCACCCATTTAGGTCACCACGGCCTGTTGTTGTGGAGCCTCTGGAGCAGTATGACGATGAAGATGGTCTTCCAGAAAAACTGGCACAGAAAAACCCCAGATATCAAGCGTAAGCAAGATTCAGTTTGTCACAAACATCTGCCTTTGTATATAAGTGATTGCTAAGTAAGGTTGATGTGATTTTGAGTTGAATAACGCTTAATTAAGTCATCTCTAGGCTTATTTGTATGCTAAGTCATTGTCTTGTGAGCAGCAGATGGTGTGATGGGGGTGGGGCTGTGGTTAGGGTATTGCAGCTCTTAAAAGTCAATGGTCTGTGTAGAGGCAGATGGTAAACTGACTGAAGGGGGAAAAGAGCCTTTTTCTGGCAACATTGGTCACTGTAGGACAATGGCTGCAAATGAAAAGTTGATTATCACAACACGGTTCAGTTTTAAATTGAGTGTTAGTTAGACTGTATTGAGCAACGTTTGTTACAATGGAGCATATATCAACTCAGAGTTCTTAAATTACTCGGCTTTAGTAATTCCAACTGGAAGGGTATACACAGTTTTATGATGCGTATACAATCATGTTAACCTAACAATTTGTACATTGTGTTGATTATTTCTATAGAGAGCGTGAGGAACCTCCTCGTTTTGCTCGTCCTGGTACTTTCGAATACGAATACTCCAAGCGCTGGAAGTCCCTGGATGACATGGAGAAGCAGCAGAGGCAGCAGGTGGAGAAGAACATGCGCGAGGCCCGTGACAAGCTGGAAAGCGAGATGGAGGACGCCTTCCACGAGCACCAGGCCAGCATGCTCAGACAGGGCAAGTGTAGTTGTATTTTTACCAAATGAGACAGGATGGATGTCCCACTTCAGATGTTGAATACTTTAAGTGCCACAATTAAATGTGTTGTTTTCACGTTACCAGATCTGCTGAGGCGGCAGGAGGAACTGAGGCGCATGGAGGAGGTGCACAGTCAGGAAATGCAGAAGAGGAAGGAGATGCAGATCAGGTATTTATTAGAATTCGTTTTGCTTATTTAATTAAGGCGTTTTTAGCCACTAGGGCAACTTAATTAACACAAAATAACTTATAATTTTTCGATGCAGATTTGCTTATATTAAACTAAAATCACACTATAAACATTTTTGTTTGTTGACACAGACAAGAAGAAGAGCGTCGGCGGCGGGAAGAAGAGATGATTCGCAAGAGGGACATGGAAGAACAGATGCGTCGCCAGCGTGAGGAGAACTTCAGGATGGGCAACTTCATGGATGTAAGTTAAACTTATTGGTAAAATGTAAAACTGATACATTCCGCAATGAAGCAAAATATCTCATCAATAGTTGTCGGGTTTTTTTTTTTACAGAGGGACAGGGAAATGAGAATGAATCCTGGAATGAATGGTAAGTTACTTTTCAATAATTTAATTGTTTAGAAGTCAGCCTGCCTGATTCTTGAGCCTTTTTGGTCCTTTGAGACTATCCAGAGCCCCTTGTGTTAACCTCTTAAGTACGAGGGTCCCCCCAGTGGACCCCCCCACCGTTTTTTACGAGACTATGTCTCAGGGCTTCTTAACATTTATGAAACTATTAATGTTCCATACCCTTTTAACGATAAGAAACTCGGCTAACTAACAATATGAACCATTTTTAGCTAAAAGAAACACAAGAGTAATACCAAGCCTTTGAATTAGCATGGAGCGAAAAAATGCTAACTAATGCTAACGGACTTTTGCACAGCACTCGCGGTGGCAATGCGCTTATTACTTATCGTCACTGCACAAACAAGATATCTGATTAAAGCTGAGACTCCACAGATTCCACTAATGTAATGTCATCACTGTAGGACCCCGAATTGCGGAGCTATCAGCCAGAAAAGAGAAAGTAAACAACATCCCGTTTCAAAAATATTACAATAATTACGTCTTACCTTTTTTGATTTGTGATCAAAAGTTGTGTTCACCGGAATAAAAACGCCGCTCAAGGTTAATCCAATGTCTTTGTGTCACGTAGAATTTTTTACTGATAATCCACCATCATATTTATGGCAATATACTGGGTATAAAGTTTTGCCGTCCAGGCTTGTACTTTCAGATGTGCTTTGTTTGCTTCTCTATTATATAGTTCTATGGTAATGTTTACTTGGATTTGGGAACTGCCCCTCGATTCTATTGGATATTTTGGTTAAGAAAAAGGTGTAAATCACCCAAATCGACCAATGGGTTCCAGATATATGGTCCTGCGTAAAGTGTGAAGAATGCAAGCCGGCTTAAGCACTTTACGCAGCAGACTTTACTTATTGTTTACTACGTAAGGAAGCAGGAATCGCAGGACCCAGAGCGCACGGAGCACAGAGCGGACAGCAGATAACGGAATTGCAGTTTTATTGCTTATAGATTATAAGAACATTTCAAAGGGGACACAGCCACATTGGATATTAACCTATGGATTAACTACATCATCGTTGTTATCGTTTTAATGCCATTGAAGACCAGTTTAGACCAGACAAAGACAAAGGTAAGCCACGTTAGCATTGTGTAGCTACCTAGCGCCACTTCTTTTGATTTACGTTTTTGTTGATAACGTTGCAAGTGTGTATCTTTCAGTGTTGAGGTGGGCACCGTTAGATTCTGTGTCTTTACGATCATAAACGATGTGTTGGATGTGCAGCTGGGATAAGTAATAAGGGAGCTAGGAGTGATTTCCGGTGCATAATAGGTTAGCATTTTTCGCTCGGGGCTAATCCAGAGGCTCACTGTTAGCATTGAAGGGGCTAAGAGGATAACAGAGTATTTATTTTAAATTTAATTTAATTTACTTTTTTCACAACGGTTGTATTTGGATGGAATGAATACCTATAGTGATAATTCAAAGTGATACAATTATTTTTACAGTGAAAAAGGTCAAATAGAAACGAT